GCAATCCTCACCTTCCCTATGGCCCAAGTGACCTCTTGCACACATCTTTGCTGGAAATATGCCTGAAATCAGTGCTATTTTTCTAGAAAAAGAGGAACTCAACATGAATGCCTCCCTCATTCTCTGAAAATGGCAATGGCACCCACCTGACAGGTGCAGGAACTGAGTTCTAGTGAGTTCCAGTTGGGGAAAAAAACCTTGCCTGAAATACTTCTTACATGTACAATGCTGCCCCTATCACGGCCCTCCACCACCATCCAGCCATGAGACATCTAAATCAAGGTGAGGACACATTTCTGAACATTGAGGAAGACCCTGTTGCTCCACAACATATCATTCTGTGCATGCAAAGCATTAGCAAGCAGACCCCATGTGGAGAAGCAGTTCCTTCAGTGATAGGTTTCACTGATTCCTTAATTAGGCAATACAAACAAAAAAGAAAATCATTCCTGATCCTGCTACAGTTGTGTGCTACTAGCGGACATGGATGGGAATGGGTATTTCCAAAAAGGCACACCTGACCTGTTCAGAGGGACCCAGGTGAGCCTATGCAAAGGGACCAGTGATAAACATTTGTATCTGTATGCTTACACACATAAGTCACCCTTACAGAATGAGGGCTGAAGAGGATTTTACTGTGATGATGATAATGAAGAAGATGATGATGGTGATTACAGAAATTGTTTACAGGGTGTGTTTGACAGTTCAACCTTTCACTTAACAATTGTTAGTACTGTATGAGGTAATCCAAGAGGATTTCATAGTTTCACCTCTCCCCCCCCCCCATAGGTTGATTTTGAGAACAATTACTCCAGGCAAATACAAATCCCACTGGCAAATTAAAAGATCCTATAACAACATTATCAGTATAATTATGTCCATTTTCTTCACGTCTTTGAGACTCCACTCTCTAAAAGTTTCAATTTAAATCAAGATTTGTTCAGCCTTTAGTTTCCTCAGTACTTATACATCCAGAAATTAAATGAGGCAAGAGAACTGAAATCTAGCTGGACAGCTTGTTTTACAATTGACCATGTGTCCATCACAACCCCCTGCATCTTCCTGAATAAGAATGGAGACATTGTACAGCAATCCCCTCTTCACCTACAAAGTATCACTGTTAATTCAGCAAGATTCCCCTTCAAACATATTAAAAGTTGTCGAAAGATCTGTCCTTATTAAAACTCACCAATTCTCTAGTCTCACAATTACAAATGAATCTTTTAAGCAAGTATTAGTTGGTTAAAAATCCAAGTTTTTTTCTTACATCCAGTCTATATTCAGACTTTTTAAAACACACACAGCTTTGGACCAATTTACACATTACCATTGCTATATATGCTGCCACAAAACTGCTTCCTTGTGATTTGCTCCCACATAGCAGCAGCAATGGGTAAAAACACAGAAAATGTGGCTTGTGCACATCACATGGGCAACTCCCATGTTGGATCAAGGCAGGGGGATATACTGGCACAGCCACTTAGCCACTGACTGCATGCCATTTCTTGTAAGCCCTTAGAATAAAGTAAGCATATATGTAAGGCAGAAGCTGCCAGGTGCAGAGAATGTTCATCAGATGGATGGGGATGCTTTTATTCCTGATAGAGGAGGATTCCCCCTACTGGAGACAGGCAGGGTCTTCAGTTTGCAAGGTCCTCTCCAGAGGGGAGGAGTCAACCCCTTCTCTCCCAATGACCCTGCCTGCTCAAGGGATGGCTGGGTCTTTGTGTCTCTCTCTGTGTGTGGAGAGAAACACTTGCCTGTGTGATTGTTTTGTGTGGATTTCCCCTTTGTCTAGTCCTCTCCTTCGTCCTGTTTGCTATATCATCTTTCTGAGTGAGTTTTTTCACTCTGTTTTCCTGTTGGCTGCCTCCCCCAGCTTATTCATTTCTACTTCATTCTCTTCGTTTTCCTCCCCCACCCTGCTCTCTGGGGAGACTGTAGGGAGCAGCTGGATTCTGACTGGATTGCCAACAGGCACAGGAGGAGTCCACAGAGGCGACACAGGGCCAGGAGCTTGCGTTTCCTGCCTCTTTCTAAAAAAAAAGCAGGAAGGCCATTTTGTTTCAGCAACTCAGCATTTCTGGGATGGCCCCAGCAGCTCCTAGAGACGTAATCGCTGCACCTGTTGGTCTAGCAGTTTTGACTGGCTGCATTATCACTGCACCTTTGGGTCCCAGTGCTAACTGGGAGTTTGAGGAGCTGCTGCAGTGTGCTCAGTCGCATTGCTTTCCCCACCTTTTCTCTGCATCTGTGCACAGGATGACTGCGCCTCTGCAGGGCAGCTTTTCTCCTTGCGATGTTGGCACAGAGGAGATCTATGCATTTGGAGATGCCAGGCAAGCTGCCTTTGGTGATTCTCCAGGTTCTTTGCCAGAGCAGGTGAGCATGAGTAAGGGGGAAACCCCCTCTGATTCTGAGGCCTTCCTTAGTTCAAAACAATTCCTGTAGAGGAGGCACACGAAGAAGAGCCTCAGAGGATGATCTTAGGGTCCAAGTAGATTTATACAGAGGTATGAACCTCATGCCCCTTAAGGTATTGTGGTCCTGAGCCGTTTAAGGCTTAATAGGTCAAAACCAGCACTTTGAATTGGGTCCGGAAACTAATTGGTACCCAGTACCATTGGCTTGCCCCGGGGAGCAACCTGGCCATTGAATTAACTGTCTTCAGAGGCATTACATATAACTGTCTTCAGAGGCATTACATATATCGTAATGGGGGGGGGGGTGACATTCCACTCTCCTCTATCTTCCTCTGGTTCTATGCATTGCATAATTTTTTGACTTTACTGGCTGCTGTGATTGATTTGTAGATTGATATGGGGAGGAGTTCTGGAACATTAACTTTTGCATTGCTGTCTAACCACATGTTTTGTGTCTGAGTGTCCTGCGCTCCAGCAGTGGGGCTGGCGTATGGGCAGCTGCTTGAGGGCTGAGGTGTTATTCTGCTCTGCTACACCTCCCCTCTAGAGGACAATTCAAGCTGAAGATTCCCTGTCTCCAGTAGGGGGAGTCATCCCTATCAGGAATGGGGACTGAAATTCACAGTAAGAAAAAAAAACACTGTTTTTTATTGCCAAACAAAATTCCAAGTATTTCAAACATGACTATTCTTCCCCAAGGGAAGCTATGAAGAAGCAAACCTCACCAAAAACAACCTCATACAAGTTGTCAACAAGAAGTGAAAAACCACTGTAAAAAGCACTTATTTCAGCTCAGTGAGTTATTTTCATTGGTTTACAAATGTATTAAATGCTGTAACACCTACACAATGGCAATAATTTTTCTATATAGTGAAATTGAAAATTACACTGTCGCAGGTCAGATAATATTTCAGCCTATTAAGCCAGGATATGCACAATCATTTTTCTTGCACAAACAGCCCCTTCACTCCATTATTCATGTAAGAGGCAATTAAAGCAAGAAATAAATATACAGTTTATAGTTTCCCATTTTATCTAAAGCAGGAAACTTTGGCTACCAGTTTGGGACAATTAAACACTTTCTAAAAATGGTGGTGTAACACCTTGGCTTGTTCCAAATCTGCTAATCAGTATCCCAATTCAGATGAAACAAGGAAATATGTTAATAAGATCCTTCCTTGTTTAATTGCTGCAAGTCACAAAGGGAAGATGAAAGGGACTGTGTGTGTGGGCAAAAGGTCTGTGCACCTCTTCGCTTAATGAACTGAGATAGGACACTCTGAAGATTTCTCAGGCATCAACTAGCCAGTGGCTTATAAACCCACCTTTGAACTATGGGGAATTTGAGTCACTAAATGCTACCCCTGTTCCCAATGGAGGCTGAGTTTGCTGACAGATCCAATCTATTTTAAAAGGTATGTGATGAATCATCTCCATCCCAATTTGCCTTGGAGAATAAAAAATAAATGGTGGCTTATATTTAGTGCAGAATTAGTTTCTTGAAATTAGTTTCAATGTTTGTTTTCAAAAGTATTAGCTCCTACAGCTCTGAAGCTATGCTTGAAAGTTTGCAGACACTGCCTCATGAAATCTCAAAAGTCAGCAGGGGGGCACAGTCAGAGCTATTACCCTCCCTATAATAAGTAGAAATTTGGTATTTTTAGCATATACATGCAGTCCTACATGAAACACCAGGAATTAATGGAAGTGATTTTAAATATTACAACTGACTTAGAATCATAGAAATAGAATCATAGAATCATAGAGTTGGAAGAGACCACAAGGGCCATCGAGTCCAACCCCCTGCCAAGCAGGAAACACCATCAGAGCACTCCTGACATATGGTTGTCAAGCCTCTGCTTAAAGACCTCCAAAGAAGGAGACTCCACCACACTCCTTGGCAGCAAATTCCACTGTCGAACAGCTCTTACTGTCAGGAAGTTCTTCCTAATGTTTAGGTGGAATCTTCTTTCTTGTAGTTTGGATCCATTGCTCCGTGTCCGCTTCTCTGGAGCAGCAGAAAACAACCTTTCTCCCTCCTCTATGTGACATCCCTTTATATATTTGAACATGGCTATCATATCACCCCTTAACCTCCTCTTCTCCAGGCTAAACATGCCCAGCTCCCTTAGCCGTTCCTCATAAGGCATCGTTTCCAGGCCTTTGATCATTTTGGTTGCCCTCCTCTGGACACGTTCCAGTTTGTCAGTGTCCTTCTTGAATTGTGGTGCCCAGAACTGGACACAGTACTCCAGGTGAGGTCTGACCAGAGCACAATACAGTGGCACTATTACTTCCCTTGATCTAGATGCTATACTCCTATTGATGCAGCCTAGAATTGCATTGGCTTTTTTAGCTGCCGCGTCACACTGTTGGCTCATGTCAAGTTTGTGGTCAACCAAGACTCCTAGATCCTTTTCACATGTACTGCTCTCAAGCCAGGACTTAAAGCACCCTTGCAGCATACCATATTTATTACTTACTTGAGACCTTCTATTGCAAAATTTCTAAGATATAAATGTCTTTTTGTACTATGAACTGCACAATGAATTGCTTACAGTCTTTAGCTTTTCTTACCTTGTCTTGGTTAGCCTTATTCTTGTAACATAAATTTCCAATCAAACGAATTAGATGTGACTTAAACCCCACAGCTGGATGACAGCTTTGTTCTTGCCCAGAATGAGTCACTGTGAAGATGTTTGTGCTCTGCTTCCCAGCAAGATGTGTAAGCTGCAAAGTTTCTAAACAGAGAAAATAATTCTGTCTTATTTTTTAAAACATTATCTTTATAATGCCCATGATACTTAAGTTTTGTTTTACTGCATAGTTATTAACATATACTTACAAAAGGAAATCAATCTACATCTTACTGCTATTGAAAGAAACACTACTAAAATCTGGAATAGGTTGTCCCAGAAGTCTCCCCAGGAGGGGAACCAGATGGTCCTCTTTGCAAGGACAGAGAGCTGAAGGAGAATCTGGACACGACCCAGGAAGGGGAAAGGTAGCATGGGGAGGTCAGAGGGGTGGTGTGTGTGTATTTGAGGTCTCTGAGAGTATCCTGGGAATCATTCCAAAAAGTAAAAACAGAAAATACATTAGACAAAATATTCCTGTTCAAGATCAGGTTCCTGTATGTGACATTCTAACTCATGTTCTAAATGCACTGGTTCAATTAAGGCTAGCATAATGAGTCATATTACTGCAGTTTCCTGAAGTTAGCCAACATTTCAAGCATCAAGTTGAATGTATTTTGCAGCATATTTAAATATGCTGCATAAATACTTTAAAACTTGCTAGCTAAGAATGTTTGGGAACCCTCAACATTAACATATGGTTTCAATGTTCTATGCTACCCTGTGTTTAATTAGTCAGCTGGGCTATTTGGGTGAAAATTCATAAAAGTACTTATTGATCTCTAAGCTAACTGGTAAACTCTTTTGCACCAAAAGTAGCAAATATTGCTCAGTGTGCAGCTTTAGAAATTATTGTTTAGTCCTCTGGTACAATAGATAAGAAATCAAACAGAGTCCTTTAATTCATAAGTCTAGTTCACATGTCACATAGAATCAGAGTTGAAAACAAACTACAATTTAATGTGAATCAACTCTAGTGAACACTGCTGAAAAGTTCTGGCTGTGCTCCTCTCCAGCTCCAGTTGCTGCCACAACACCAAGGTATTATAACATTTACTACCAAATTACTTCACAGGAGCATTCAAGTTTCAATTCTGTTTCACACATTCTGTACAATGTGAAGAACAGAGGCATACAGAAAGTAGTGTGTGAACATTGGTTCATATATGTGATTTTTTAATACAAGATACACAATATCTTGGAATAAACATATATCGCACCAAAGCTTATATGTTTTACCTGATGGTTAGGTAATCCTTTAGCAAACCTTTGAATACCTTTTCCATCCAAATATAGATATTGGAAGACATGCTATCAATTTTCTGCTTCCTATTTTTAAGTTATTGGTCACAACTGTCAAGTGTTCCTTATAAAACCTACTTTCAAGTAGAATACAAAGCATTACTCCTTAGATTATTACATTTTTAAAAATGTGTGTGCTTCTTACTTACTGACAGTCACCTCAAGCAAATCAGGGCAAGCCTGCAGACATTCCAGATGTCCAGAGTTTGATGTCATTTCACAAAGAACATCAACAAGCCGAATCGTGACTAGTGCTTCCTATGAAAAACAGGCAACAGTTTGAAATCTCAGTTTTCACCTACTTAAGAAGTAAATTTCTAGCACCTATGGCAGCAAATGCCTACTGAAATTGCCAGATGGTATTAGAGGATATTGCAAATGGTTATGGGGTAAGCTTTACTTGCAAACACAGTTCCTTGTCCCAATGTAGCATAAATGCACGATTATTCAAAACAAACAAAACTGCATGTTTTGTACAGACTGCAGAATTCAGGTTTTTTTGGCACTGAAATTTTATTACCCTTGTGTAGAATTTTTTACAACCTTCTTTGGTACAGTGGTACCTCGGGTTATATACGCTTCAGGTTACATATGCTTCAGGTTACAGACTCTGCTAACCCAGAAATAGTACCTCAGGTTAAGAACTTTACTTCAGGATGAGAACAGAAATCATGCGGTGGCGACACGGCAGAGGCGGGAGGCCCCATTAGCTAAAGTGGTGCTTCAGGTTAAGAACAGTTTCAGGTTAAGAACAGACCTCAAGAACGAATTAAGTTCTTAACCCGAGGTACCACTGTACTGATTTTTTTTCTAATTCAAAAGCCTTGTAACATAGTCAAATGCAAACCTCCATAAAAATGAGCATATTGTACTACAAATATCCAATCAACCTCAGAATCACAAATACACAATCAAGAACAGAAATACTGCTGCAAGGGTGATACTCTAAAAACTAAACACAAACTTGAAATATAGAAATATAGAAAGTCTCTAGCTACATTATTTTCAATATAAGATTGTTCTGCAACAGAATTAAATCGTTTGTGGCAAAGTAATTATATTTACATTAAAGTTCAATAAATATTCATTTGAAATAATGTGTAGTATTTGTGATTAGATAGAAAGGGAAATTATTGTCATTTGCATATTATTTATTCAACCTGAGAGCTGTTGCTTGGAATTGTCTAACTGCAGCTGGATTGATCTGTACCAACTGTGGTAATTGCAAATCATCATATGCAGAAAACAGATTATATAAAATTTAAGACTAGAAAGCGATAATTATGGGCTACAGTGGCTGAGCCGTGTGCTATATTATGGCTTTCCTGAATAAGACAGGAATTGCCCTTGCAACTGAAAATCCAGTCTATAAGATAGAGAAGTGTTAATGTTTGGATAAAGGTCATCATAAATCCAGGATTTTCTAAACTGCATGAACAAACCAGTTAACAGAAACAGCAGATCAATCTGTTCCTGGATTATATCCATTTGAGAAGATGGTATGATTGTATATTTTCCTCCTTTCCAAATACCTATAAAGAACTAGATTTCAGAAAGAGATATGGTTTCCAGCCTTCTCCTTGACATTTTGTTCAAATCAGAAGACTTATTTTCCTTCCCACAGGGAAGAATTCAAACAAAGGAATCCCCCATTTGTAGCCTAAGAGAGTACAAGTAATTTTCAATGTGATCTAGCCACAAGTATTAGGACGAACTGTATCAGCTAATATATCAACTGTGTGGCAATATTACAAGTTATTACTGGGACACACATATCCAGACATCTCTGATATTTCATGCACTTGATACTACAGACTCAATCACCATGATCTCATAAATTGGCTCTTGCGCTGTTTGCCCACCCACAGAACATCCCTATTTGTTTCAAGACAGCAGAAAAATCCATGGATGCAGATGATTATTAACATTTGTTTTTTAAATGTCTGCTTTCCTATCAATGTCTTACAGGACATGTATGGAGTAACTGTAGTGAGCTGAACTGGTAAATGCAAATGAGAGCCACAGAGCTCTAGATCAGATCACATTTCATCAGGTTTACAACATCAGATAAAAATATACTTACCTCATCATCATCATTTGCTGCAAATGCCAATATGAGCACGGCTTGACATTTCTCCTTGAAACAATTTACAAGAAATTTGGCTGTTTCTGCACTGATAACTGTATTGTTTTCACCAATTTCTGACTGTATCAATTCTAAAAACGAAGCCCTAGAATAAAAATGCAAGCCTTGCTTATTTACATTGAAGTATACCGAATGGAGGGCACAATCAATATATTTAAATTAGACCACAGTTGCTAGGCCACCACAGATCTCCTGATGCCTCATGGAGTCTCTGACTGAAGAAATTCCAATCCACACCTTAAGTATGATTTTTACTTACCTAGTTATAAAAATGTTTATATACCACTACTCATTTTTTTAAAAAAATCAGAGTGGTTTACAACAATTAAACTGAAGTAAGAGGTAATATTCGCTCAGTTTATCCTTCAGTCTATACCAGATGTGTGATATATTTCTTTTATCAAATTCAAGAAATGACCCATTTTTTGTTTTTCTTTCTTGTTTAAGACTACAACTCCCATAATCCTTGACCCCTGGAGATGCTGGCTGGGGCAGATGAAAGTTGTGTTCCAAAACAGGGTACCAGGCTGGAGTCTGCTGCTCCAGTAGAATGAGCTGACAATTTTTGTCAGTATTGAACAAGTATTATGCTGGCCACTGGCAAAAGATTAACTATCAGGTTTCTTTGGTACATTCATTATACAATTTAGAACCATTGTTAGTATGTCAATTTGCAAACTGATCCTTATAACTTGAGCCCAATCATTTTGAACTGTGGGACATCTTCATAACATATAAGTCTGCATCCATACCATTCCACATTTCAAGCATCCAAACATATCCATTCCATATATTCATTCTTTGATGTGTCACATATTATCTTAAATTAGGTCTCTTTCAATGATGTACTGGCAGAAAAGTGCTTTTTGGCTCCTATATTTTCGGCCCTACCTCTCTGAAGAAGAAGTTCTTAAATCTTTTCTCCAAACGATAACCCTCATTTTTTCCAAATTTAAAAGGCAGTAGAGTTTTATAAGATACATGAATATACTCCTTTAACTTCACATGGAGTCAACTGCTTAGGTTACAGTATTCCCAATTCTTGTGTTACAAAATGTTAACAACCCCCACCCCAATTTAAGTTGTCCAATTATTGTTCAATTAATAAGATGCTCCCTTGAGACGAATCCTGATTCCCAAACTATATCCCAAGTCTTAAAACTTACTAGCCTGTAAAATGAAATTCTCTGCTATTTCTTATTTCTTATATGAGGGGCTTTTAGAGATTGGACAGAGCACTTGGTCCCTTCTTTGCCAGCAGTAAAAAGCAGACTAGTAAAAAGAAAAGAAAACGTCAAGCTACAAACGCAGGAGGAGGCCACTCCACTGCCCCTTCTACTGCGCTCTGGCTGCTAGGGCTGTGGCCAGAAGTGGCAGGCTCTGTGTGAGGGAGCCCCCTGGCAACTTTTTATATAGTTGTTTGTTTGTTTGTTTGTTTGTTTCATAAAATGTATACACTGCTTGATTTCTTTTGCTATTGCTGACAGTTCTGCTGCTAGCACCAACAGTGAAAAGTGATAACTGACATCTTTGCTTGTTCCTTGCGAAGCTGATGTAAAGTCTAGGGCCCCGGAACAAACTGTCAAGGTAACAAGCAAGTTGGGTTGGGCATGGAAAGGGCAAGTACTGTGTTTACCAACCATTTATTCATGTATTTTCTTAAAGTACAACTTGTTCCCCTGTAATAAGGGGAAAGGCAATGGGTGGCAGGAGCTTAATCTAAACCCTGTACAAATTATAGCTCAGGAGTGGCATCCTAGGGGTGAGAAGTCTGTTGAACCTTTTTTTTCCTGCTCTAACTCTAGCAGGGCAGCCTTGGGGGACTGCAGCAAACCGCAGCTACAACCGTAGTTCAGTTTCAAATTTAGGGTATGAAACGGACATCTTAAAACTAAAGAGTAACTTATACGTCTAAAAACCTCAGTGGAAGCTTACCACAGGTTCGACTTCAGGTTAAGTGCAGCATATAAACTAAATGGTAAGGGCAGGCCTCAAGCCAAGTTAAAAGCTAAGCTTTTGCTTCAGATTCAAAATCAGTAAAAACTAGTTGAGTAAAAACATACTCACTTAAGACTGTAATACTAACTATGTCTAATCAATAGGGCTAACTCCCATGTAAGTGGGGTGAGGAATGCAGAATAGATCATCATACGTTGTCCGCTCCCCAGAAAAAAATCCCATCCACAGGGTGCTAATCTAACCTAAATCGCCTTTCAGGTTTCTGTTCACTAAATAGTGGTGCAGCCAATTGCTGGCCCACATCTCCTTATATTTTTTTTAATGAGGCCTGCCTGATTGTGTTAAGAATATGTATATTGTAGATTCTGACCTCACTTTATATAATGTGCAACTTCTACCCCACCCATTTCCTTTTTGAAGAGCAGCACACTTGCTCTTTTCCATACACAGAATTTATGTGCATGTTTGTGCAGATTGAGATATAAAAGAACACGGCACAAATGCATTGTCGCATTCATTGTGCACTTCCTTTGCAAGGTAGTGAAGCATATCTAAAATTATTTGGTGCAAATCTGTTTTTTTCAAATAGCTATTAAATGGCTGCATAAGTTGAGCCATAAAATACAACAGGGTGCGGTGCACTTATGAAATCAAGGCATAAGCATGAAATCTTGCCTTCATTTTCTCTTTCTGTGTGTGCATTTCTTACAGAGTAAGGGCGCCAACCTGGATTCTGCAACCCCTATCTAAATCCCTGCCAGTTGTGGCTAAATTGTAATGTTAACCAACCAATTTAAAACCATTACTGACATAGAAACATGTATTTAGAGATTCTGTGCCAACTATGAAACCACACTTCTTTTTTTTCAAATCATGTGAACAGGATACTCTATATGGAATGCTAAATGCTGAAACCCACATTGGTTTTTGGGGTTACCTTTCTTGATTGCTCAGTTTGGCATACATGGCTTTGACCAACTCAGGGCACTTCAGCAAATGGTTGGTAACAATCAAGAACCTGAAAGAGGAGGAAAAACAATAGGACAAACTGCTGTTGGTTGTAGGAAAACTGCAAAAGTTAGCTACTTTGCACCGTGCAAAGTTAGTTCACACTGGCATTTTATAGTAGTTGGTCACTAATCAAGTTACATTTCTATCAGTACCTGCTAAACTATATAAGAAGTCAAAAAAACAACAAATTTAACTATTTTTTTCTTTGCAACCATGGACATGTGCAGTGCCGGATTTACGTATAAGCTAAACAAGCTGTAGCTTAGGACCCCACTCTCTTGGGCCCCCCAAAAATTTTTAAAGGGGGGAAAACTAGATGTACATTTCCAAAATATAAGATAGGTTCAACAATTACTTTGATAAAAGGCATATTTTGTTATGTGCAAATGGCTTTAGATACCTATTAAGTCCATAAATTACCATATAGCATATATTCAACACAAAAAAACAGTGAAAATTTGTTGTTGACAAAGGACAGCTGGACATATAAAGGGCCACATTACCTTCAGTTGCTTAGGGCCTCATCAAACCTAAATCCGGCCCTGGACATGTGTCACAGGCAATCTTGTTAGAAATTCTAGCCTATAAATATATTTGCTAATTGCTACTGCAATCCCTAACCTCCTAAATTCATGAAGGACCACGTGTGCAGCCTGGGAGTCATTTTAGGCTCCTAGCTGTCCATGAAGGCATAGGTCAATTCTGTCTCCAGGGTAGCTGTCTACTAGCTCCATCTGGCTAAGACCTTACCTGCCTGCAGACTGTCTCACCAGAGTGGTACATGTTTTGGTTATCTCCTGCTTGGACTATTGCAATGCGCTCTATATAGGGCTACCTTTGAAGGTGACTCAGAAACTACATCTAATCCAGAACTGGTGACTGCGAGTGGCTGCCGGGACCATATAACACTGGTCCTAAAGGAAATTCACTGGCTCCCAGGACATTTCTGAGCACAATTCAATGTCTTGGTGCTGACCTTTAAACCCCTTAACAGCCTCAGCCCAGTATACCTGAAGGAGGGTCTTCACCCCCATCATCCACCCCCAAGGGTCTCCTGGCGGTTCCCTCCCTGCGAGAAGTGAAGTTACAAGGAACCAGGCAGAGGGCCTTCTCGGTAGTGGTGCCCTCCCTGTGGAACACCCTCCCATCAAAAGTCAAGGAGATAAAGAACTACACAACTTTTAGAAGATATCTGAAGGCAGCACTGTATCGGGAAGTTTTTAATGTGTGATGTTTTATTTTGTTTTCATGGGTGTTGGAAGCCGCCCAGAGTGGCTGGGGAAACCCAGCCAGATGGGCAGGGTATAAAATCATCATCCTCATCTTCACCAGCTTAGGGTGGGTGGCTGCCACAGGAGAGGCACAACTTCATCCAGTCAGGTGGAAGCTATCACCAGCAGTGGAGAGCAAAAGGTCCTGAAACAGGGCATATCCAGGTGGAATGGGTTGCCAAAGCTTTAGTTCTGTCCGATTCAAAACACCATGCATTCCACCAAGTGGCCCAATCCTCAGACCCCTCAAGTATGCTAGCTTAGTGGTAGCATTGCAAAATATAACAAATGCTCCCCCCCTCCTGCTTTCCTGTCCTGGCTGGCAACACTTCAGAAGTTGGTCCATTGCGCCTTGACCCCAGTTTAAGAAGATTAAATAGTAAATGGTGTTTTTTAAAATATAAAATAAAATAAATGAATTGGATATTGTTCAGGCAGACTTAAACGCAATATAAAGTAAATGGGAGAAACAAGAATACAATAATTTGTCCAGAAGACAATAGGTTAAACATGCTAAATAGATAACTCAATTATGATACTGAATTTCATATGCACACAAATAGTTGGATTAAATTCCCTGTCCCACGCAAGCCAGGACATCTTTGATAACAGAAGTAGGCAAATTCCTCTGTAGATTTTCCTAAACTACAAAAATGGAGATTCCCAATCTAATGTTCTTTCCACATGCACCCCTTTGCCCAATGGATCATGCACTGCTGCGTAACAAGGAGTGTTGTAAAAACATTTGAAACCTTCAGGATTCAGTCTTGGACAAAGATGGAAAAAACAATCATAATTTTTTTAGCTGTTGACTGTGAATTTCAGGTGACCAGGTAACCAACTAGGCACTTGGTTTTTGAGACAGTTAGAAGACTAAGGATGCAATCCTATATATATTTACATGAGCATGAGCTCCATTCAAGTCATGTGCTATGATTTTGCTATAAACAGGAGAAGGGAAGGTTTACCAGATTATAGGATTATTTCATCTCAAACCAAAATAGTTGCATTTCCTTAAGAAGCAAAATTACACCTTTTACAAGTAATAAATCTGACTGATTAAGGAAGGGGGTTGGAAAACAAACAGAATCACAACCAAGTTACACATTAAATGCAAAATGGGGGTACCACCAAAAATGTCATCACCCATAACGCTTGCCCTATGCAATGACACCTTTGCATTCTGAGTTTTTCTTCTCTCCACCAGCCTATGATAAGGAATGAGACATGAAAACTCACAGAATGACTTTAGGAGTAAGTGCTCCTAAATATTACAGATAAGAGAAGGCAAATTCACCCGGGGAATATGCCTTTTCAGCAGCATCCTCATAGTGTGCAAAGTATGTCCCTTGACACTCCAAACGGCCAAACCCACTTGTAGCCCCACCCACAAAGGCATTGTGTTTATATTATGCAATGTGGCCCAGCTTCAATGCTGAGAATAGGACCATTAGATGTGCTTTGCCCAGCTTCAGCACAAAAATCATTTCCACATGGTGTTTGTGATTATATTAGTCACAATTCCCATTCAAAAGTCAAATATAGTCATGGCTTTGAGAGAAAACTATTAAAAGAGTTCTTGTAGAATACCAGCATTGCTTCTACAGATGTCAAGTATCTGTTGCAACACTACAATTAAAGAACATTTTTCCAGTGAGAAATAGCTATCAAACCCTCACTTGCACTTGGAACTTGGAACATGAGGAAACTCCAACTTTCCAGGAATTAAAAACAAATTTGGTCTTTTGGAGAGCACACAATTTTGTAGGGGGAAAAATAAAACTATCCCTAAGTTAGAAAGGAAGGATTTTCAACCCGTAACAGGGCTGAAAAATATTTTTACACACAGCTAGAGAATACTTTACACATTATAGCATAATGATTATACAATTCCATGACTCCCTTTTCAAACTCTTCCTCACAACCTCTGCTCTCAACTACTGGCTTTCCATTCATGATTAGCTCCACAAGCTTGAAGTACCTACGAAGTGGGGAAGGATAACCCTATTTCCTGGTCTTTAAACTTGTAGAAGTGATGTACAGAATCAGCTATACAGTCATACCTCGAGTTGAATGTGCTTCAGGTTGAGTGCTTTCGGGTTGCGCTCTGCGGCAACCCAGAAGTAACAGAGCGCATTACTTCCAGGTTTTGCCGCTCGAGCATGCGCAGATGCTCAAAAATGTGCTCTCCACAGGGCACAGTTTAGTTTCTTCTCCCCCATTATCCTCTCCTCCACCACAACTATATCAACAGATAAAAATGGTTCCTCCCCAAAGAATTCTGCTTTTTTCTGGACTTTGCATGTATAAACACACTTGGAATAAAGTTGTTGTTTCCTCACCTCAAAAGGGGTATTTCAAAACTGGAAAAGATGTAGAAAAAGTAAACCAAAATGACCAAGGAAAGATTACAGTGTTGGGGGCTTACCGGTTGAGAGAGAAGGTGAGTAAGAAGAGATATGATAGAAATTATGCATGGTGTGGAGAAACTAGACCAAGAAAACTTTTCTCCCACTCTTATAATACTAGATTTGGGGACATTCGATGAAACAGAATATTGGAAGATTCAAAATGGGGAAAGGGAAGCACTTCTTCACACACTGTACTATGGAATTTGCCTTCACAAAATGTAGTGATGGCCACCAACCAGGATGGCTTGGAAAGGGGTTAGACAGATTCATGGAGGTTTAGGCTATCAGTGGTTACCACTATGGTGGTTGTGTATTACTTCCCATATCAGAGGTGAGATGCCTCTGAAGACCATTGCTGGGAATCACGAGTGGGGAAAGCGCCCTTCTTGCAGGCTTGGCGTCTACTACTGCACTAGGACCTCCCTTGTCAGAGCCAGTCTGCCTCTGAAGACCACAAGGGAGGACACACTCAGGTCCTGCGTAGAGGCAGAGCGCAGGCATCTGCTTGGCCCTGTGAGACCAGGATGCTGGACTAGGCGGGCCACTGGCTTGATCCTCAGGCTCTCCTTGGGTGCTCAGGAGGGAATGCTTGTTCTAAAATTATCTAAAGACAAATAATGCTTTTTCTTCCAATCAGTAATTTTAATATGACAAATGTAGCTGATTGAAGCTCATTGACTGGAGCACCAGTCCTAAATCTAGTCTGTAATTGAATATCCATAGTTTTTCTAAATTGGCTTTTATAACATATACTGGATAAATTATGATGCATCTTTGAAGCACTTTTCCCTATCCCAGATATACAGTATGTGTTTGCAGGTTCAATGTTTAAAATAGATAACATATGGTGTCCAATGTTGTTTCTTTTCCCTTTTACAGGCGGTAGCTTTCCAAAGACACAGGGCTCTTCTCTGCTGTTGATTAGAGCAAACCAAAATAGAAAAAAATTATCTGACTTCTTGAAGACTTTTAAATTTTCCAGTGCCTAAGGCATGACTTTTCATCTGCTTGCGTGTAAAGAAGTGTTTTTTTATACATAAAAGGGGGAGGGGGAGGGAAGGCAGAAATGCAACTCAGAGAAGCAGTTGGATCAGTTTACACTGCAGTTCATGACATTCCCATCTTATTTCTGCTATCTCCTCTCCCTCTACCCAAGAAAACATATGAGTAGATAACCACAGTAATGATTACAGGACTGGGATAATAAACAGGGTAGAAGACGACGGGGATATATATACACACATACACACACACACACACACACAGACTATATATCTATGATTTGGCACAGTATGTATTGCACAGAGCTCACATTCTCAGTCAGCAATGCAATACATCCACACAAGATCCTTGCTCTATTTTTTATTATTATTATGGCCTATGCTAATCATTACAATATAAGGATTAGAGAAGCTGCCTCATACTCAATCACCCATCGGTGTATTTAGCACAAAACTATCCCCTTTACTATCTAGCGGCTATCCAAGATTTCAGCTAGATGTTTTCTCCACCCCAATACCTGAGGTCCTTTTAACTGGATCTATTGTGAATTGCTTCAGGAACATTTCTGTATAGGAAGCCTTTTGTCTCTGACCAATCTACTTGCAAGTAAGCTACCCTAGGTTGCACATAATACAGGGTACAGCCAAGTGGACAGCATCCTATTTGCTCACATCCCTAAGCCCACATTTCTGCCACAGTGAGTTGCCAAGATCTACTGAGTCCCAAGACCCCTTGGCCAGGCTAACTTCTAAGGAGACCAAGTTCAATTGCTTTGTGTTTTAAAAAGGAACCTGTATAACCTACCTCAGACAGTACAATTCTGCACCTGAAGAAATCCAGGTTACCATATCTAGTGAGGCCAAGATGCTCAGTTTAAGCAGTGTATATTTCTGGTAGATTGGGAAGAGGGCTCAAGTTGTTTTAGATGAAAAACAACAACTGAAGAAAGCTAGACACACACACACACACACACACACACACACACACACACACACCTTCAACATTAATAAAATGTCCCATTCCCCGCCCCCCTTTTAAAGGCCACTACCGCGCTAGAAAAAATAATTCCCTCACTTGAAACAACAGCATATACTATTTCTGTATACAGAGTATATCAGTCATCATTTAGGGAGGGAAAGGCCTCTATGTAAGAAAACAAAAATGAGTATACTGGGGTTTTTTGGGGGGGGGGGGGCAACAGCTAAATATGCTAATAAATTTGAAAACTAAGGCAACCACCACAGTATATCAAAGTAAAGATGGTATCTTGCCTTTCACATTTAAATATATAAAACCATGGCTAACTCTTTGAGAAGAATCTCAGAGACAGAAGACTTTTTAATAATCAAAATATCTGTTTCTGAGCACAATTCAAAGTGTTGGTGCTGACCTTTAAAGCCCTAAACGGCCTTGGTCCTGGATACCTGAAGGAGCCTCTTCCCCCCCCCATCATCCAGCCTGGAACTGCCAGAAGGCCCTCAGTCCAGCGCCGAGGGCCTTCTGGCAGTTCCCTCCCTGCAAGAAGTGAAGTGATAGGAACCAGGCAGAGGGCCTTCTTGGTGGTGGCACCCGCCCTCCCATCAGATGTCAAGGAAATAAACAACAACCTGACTTTTAGAAGACATCTGAAGGCAGCCAGTGTTAGAAACTGGGGGTAGAAAAGCTAGGAGCCAAATGGCTTCTGGGACCTGGGTTGTGGGCGCCAAAAGAGAATGGTTAGTTGCCACAGGAGGGTTCACCAACACTTTTTATTTATCATTTTGATAAACATTAACTAAAATGCAATTCACATAAGTGACACATTGTGAATATCACATTTTTAGCAGAAATTATTAATACATGTTTAATTTGGTGTTTACAATAAAAATATTGGTACCATACTTCAGTTTTTCAAAACACTCTACTCTTTATTATTAAACTCCTTACCATATTGTCTATCCTTAACATACACTACTATACAAGGCTTCAATGCACCTACATTTCAGTAGTCATTGAGTGTCAACCTGACACAAAAAATGGCACCCAGACTTTTTGAGGTGCTTGCAAATGGAGAATCTTTAGGCACAAAATGTGCCTGGTGCCCTGAAGGCAGCCCTGTACAGGGAGGTTTTTAATGTTTGATGTTTTATTGTGTTTTTAATATTCTGTTGGAAGCCACCCAGAGTAGCTAGGTAAACCCAGTCAGAGGGGCGGCAATATAAATTAAAAGAAGAAGAAGAAGCAGCGTTTGGATTTGATATCCTGCCTTTCACTCCCCTTCAGGAGTCTCAAAGCGGCTAACAATCTCCTTTCCCTTCCTTCCCCACAACAAACACCCTGTGAGGTGAGTGGGGCTGAGAGACTTCAGAGAAGTGTGACTGGCCCAAGGACACCCAGCAGCTGCAGGTGGAGGAGCGGAGACGCGAACCCGGTTCCCCAGATAACGAGTCCACTGCTCTTAACCACTATTTACAAAATTATTCCAAAGCTGCTTTCTCACAGCAAAATCTAGCTATCACAACCAGTACCAAACTCCACTTGTGTCAAGTTGCTGAAAATCTACCTCTGTTATTCTTCCCAACAATACAAGCTCTGGAATAGGATAATTCCAATGCCCTAAGGAATCTTACTGATTCTGTAATGGCTTCTTCAGATACAGAGTAAAATAAACTTTCCATTCTAGATATTGCTTTTTCCCTCATCTCCTCCCAGAAACCATCTCCATCACTCAGCTGGGATCAATGTCTCCCTGAACTGGATTTATTATAGCAGTTTACTAACTGGACATACAACAAAATTCATCAAAATGATGGTGATGAATCTCGTGTTCAGGGTCCTAACACCGTAAGCAGCAAGGAGCTCAAGGCGGGCACAGCACTCGCCTCACTTTCCGCTTTATTGTTTCTGACAGACAGAAAGCAGTCTGGATACTCATTCCTCATTGTGTCGTTGAAGGAGGCACAAATATGTGTGAATTCAAATGATATTTGTTTTTAACTTCATGTATTAGTTCAAAAAGTGTGAATAAGAGAGTTTCAAATTTCTCACCATCCCTATCTGCAAATGGCATTTTATTTTTAGAGTCCAAAGAGCCCTGCAGACATGCAAACAAAAAAGCCCAACAACTTGCACATCCAAAAGGGTTTATCACATTCTCCTTCCTCCCACAACAACTTCTAGCAAGAGACGAAGAGTGTGAAATTATTGTAATTATGGCCCAGCTTGTTAGAAACACGTGACTTCTACCAGAGACTATGGAGCACCATTGGGCATTCAGTTCTTTCAATCCCAGCCTCATTTTGGGCCAAGTTTACATATTGTTAAGTTCTCTTAGAATTAAAATCAATATTAAGTTATTACAATGTATTTACTAAAAGAAGTTAAAAGCAAGCTGGCACATCTCATCTGGAGAAACAACAACTATCAAAGACTTAAGATAATGTATTGGGAAAAAGGAGGAGTATACAGACGTCCATTCCGATTCCGGGTACTTCCTGGATGCCTGCAGAACAGCAAGGGCAACGTTCAAGTTGCTTTCTTCCTGTAGTTCTCTTGTCCTCTCAGGGTTAAGACAAGTGAAAAGAACCATACAGCAATAGGCAACCGTTTTCTCATCTTGATGATTCAAGCAATTCCTCAAAAACAAAACGAAAAAGCAGGAATATTTATTAGGCTATGTACCAACAGCCAATGTGTAATGCACCCAACTCTTCAAACGGTGCTGGGTATTTACTGAATCTAAGAATGTTGGAAGGGACTTTGGGGGTTATTTTATTCTAATGGATATCCCCAATTAATCCCTCAATGTGTAATGCAATCAATCAATCAATCAATAAAATACCATATCACAGGGTGGTCCACAACATAAAAATACAAAATAAGAACACAAAATACTTAATAAAACAAAAACAAAGAAAACAAACCAATAACCCCACTCCCACAAACACATTTAAAAAGCCATAGAATGTATATCAGCCAAAGGCCTGTTTATAGAGAAGTATTTTCGCCCACACAGCCATCCATCCAAAAATTTACCTGAAACTAGAAAGGTCAGGACTGGTTCCTGTCTGGTTATGCTAATCTAAGAATTGCTACTGAAGCAAGCAAGCACTGGAGCTGTAGTATTATGTCATCCTTTTAATGCCAATTGCTTTGACACTCTTTGGAAACAGGGAATTCATACCAAGTTAAGCGCTTATGTTTATATGAATGGAACGGTAACTAGAAATGTTTAAATTGTGATGCTGTGTACAGTGTTTTTTACTTCCTTGTTTGCTACCTTGCCCTCACAGTTTTGGGAAGCAGGTTAGAGTTAAGACCTCTTTATGGCCAAGTAGAGATTTTTAAATGGAGATTTTTCTATTTAAATCCCCCAAACTCTGTCAAACTTTGTTCAAAAACTTTGTTGCCTCATGACAATGTTGCAACGGGCAATTTAAAAAGTAGTTTGCAAATTCTAAACAGTGTAGTACAAAATCATTAGTTTTTCATTGAGAAAGAAGTTTAAGGTTTCAAATACTACTATACATTTCTGGAGCAATTTATTTGAATTTAGCGTTTCCTCTTAGAGGTGGCATTAGACTAAAAAGTTGGGTTGCAACATTTATTTAATCAAAGTTACTCCAACCAATTAATTAACTAAAAGTAGCCCCCAAATTATAGGGACGCGGGTGGCGCTGTGGGTAAAACCTCAGCGCCTAGGACTTGCCGATCGCATGGTCGGCGGTTCGAATCCCCGCGGCGGGGTGCACTCCCGTTGCTCGGTCCCAGTGCCTGCCAACCTAGCAGTTCGAAAGCACCCCTGGGTGCAAGTAGATAAATAGGGACCGCTTACTAGTGGGAAGGTAAACGGCATTCCGTGTGCTGCGCTGGCTCGCCAGATGCAGCTTGTCACGCTGGCCACGTGACCCGGAAGTGTCTGCGGACAGCGCTGGCTCCCAGCCTATAGAATGAGATGAGCGCACAACCCTAGAGTCTGGCAAGACTGGCCCGAACGGGCAGGGGTACCTTTACCTTTTCCTTTAAGAACCAATGCAACCAACTTCAGGTTGCATTTGTGTTCCCTCCGGAAGAGCTCCATACCTACCTAACAGTCCTCCTCAGTTCTCATTTTTTTGGTCACAGTAGAGTGTGACAGACAGATACCAGTTGGAAAACTATCTTTTTTGTACACTAGGGGTAGGGGAACATTTCCAACCCAAGGGCCACAGCCCCTCCTAGGCAACCTTCTGAGGACCACATGCCAGAGTCAAAAGTGGGTGGAGCAACAAATGCAAATTTAACCTTCCTACAGTAGGCCAAGTTCTACACTCCACTATGTCCTTCATTCTGACAAGCCAGAGACGCTATCAGCAGTGGTGTGAGGTCAGTGGACTAGGGAGACTAGGCTAAGATCACAAATGTGACTCATTCAGGAAACACCGCTCTCACTCTCAATTGGCTTAGTTTACCTTCAGCTATGCCATTGACTAGGGACATGGGTGGCGCTGTGGTCTAAACCACTGAGCCTAGGGCTTGCCAATCAGAAGGTCAGCGGTTCGAATCCCTGTGACAGGGTGAGCTCCCGTTGCTCGGTCCCTACTCCTGCCAACCTAGCAGTTTGAAAGCACGTCAAGTGCAAGTAGATAAATAGGTATCACTCCGGTGGGAGGGTAAACAGCGTTTCCATGTGCTGCCAGAAGCTGCCAGAAGTGGCTTAGTCATGCTGGTCACATGACCTGGAAGCTGTCTGTGGACAAACACTGGCTCCCTTGGCCAGTAAAGCGAGATGAGCGCCGCAACCCCAATGTTATGTACTGAAGTTCTCACCCTGGGCCAGCAGGGGGATACTGTAGATAGTTTTCACTCAGGTCTACATATGCAAATAGGGCATTGAAAGTGACGTTCAGTGATTGGATAGTTACAGAAAATGGTTACAGTTGCGTTGTAGTGGAGCTCTATATAAGCAGGCTGGCTGAACCCTTCAGTTCAGTTCTGTTCTGGACTGTGAATAAACAAGAGCTGTTTAAAGAATCGCTGTGTCGTCTGATATGTTCACCCACAACCTAACACCCAGAGTCGTCTGTGACTGGACTTAACGGTCAGGGGTCTCTTTACCTTTCTTTACTATGCTCCAATATGGACTAATGGAACTTTTTTAGAGCAAGGTTTGGGAACCTTTTAGCCTGGTGGGCCAGATCATCATCTCCCCTTACCCAATGGGCCAACTTTAGCAGCTGGGCTAGACCACCTACCAGTCAATCATCTGGCACCCAAATGACTTGGCAGGTGATTGGTAAGTTGGTAAGTGGTTTCTCCCACTGGTCAAAGTTGACCCATGGCAGTGGAGGGAGGATCCAGCAAGCAGAACTGAACTCCCCATACAACCATTGATGCATGTTGTATTCAATCCTGTTTTCTTCGTGCTTCAGTTACCAGCACCTCATTTTTATTTTTTTATTAAAGAGCTTTCTCTCACACACACCCCATATATATATACATGTCAGCATTGCTTCAGTAGCACTGGCTCTTTCACAAAAGAAAATCCTATTAACTATTTGACACAAACAGAACATTTTACATCATATTCCCCCCCCTTGCAACTTGATCAAAAGGTTGGCATTTCTTTTTAATATTATGTCTGCCCAGCTTTGGGGTCCCCCCCTTTCCCCTGTAGGGGTTAGTATTTATTCCGGGATCATAAATATTTTAAAAGTACGTGGACTCTTCATGTGCTTTGTCTGACAATCATTTTTTGTTATTTCAAACTGGACTTGGATATGGGTATCTTACTGGAGTAAAAGAAGAGAAAAAGAGGGAAAGATTCTCCCTCCCCCCCCTTCCTTCTCTTTCAAAACCAGCTTTGAAAAATAAAATAAAATAAAACATTGTGAACTGAAATGGCTCTTATTTGAAAGTTTAACTTTTTCTTTCATCAATTTATAATCAGAGTTCTTCTGGTATGTTTGATTCCTGACAAATAATGATAAAAGTCATGTGCCCCCCCTTGCTAATGAGATGATAAAACAGCAGGGATCAAGTTTTTAATTACTAGAGGCTACGCATTGGAGAGGTACCAATGATATTTTCTACTGCATGTCTAAGTTGTAACTTCAGGCTTACGACAGTCCTGCTGTGTTCCTCTGCCTTTGATGCTCACTCATCTTTGTCTCCCGAGAACGTACAAAAACTTTGAGCCTGGATCCTGGGGGTGGGGGGTGGCTTGCAATTATTGCCATAGCCTGCTACAGGTTCCACTGTCAGCTGTCCTCTCCCAGCGAGGGGTCCTTCATGCTGCCCGTTTATAAGGGAAAGGAAAATGGGATGCTCAGGGTCACCCTGATCTAGCAAAGAGAGGAGGCTCGTGTCAGAGCTGAGCCACCCGCAAGTGTCCGAGGGGAGCTAGGAAGTGTCCTAAGTTGCCAAGTACATAACAAGAGCCCTACTGGATCAGGCCAAAGGCCCATCTAGTCCAGCATCCTGTTCCCAAAGTGGCCAACTGAATTACTCTGGGGAAACCTACAAGCGGGATCTGAGCAAAACAGCACTCTCCATCTCAAATCAGTCTCCGTCATCTGTGCATGGGGCTGGGAATGTCCCCTGCCTGAAACCCTGGAGAACTGCTTTTAGGGGGCCCTTTGAGAACTGCTTTTGGGGGGCCCTTTGAGATCATTGCTATCACATACTCTCCAACATTTTCCCAATGAAAATAAGGATGTCCTATTCCATTATTAGGGACGCGGGTGGCGCTGTGGGTAAAAGCCTCAGCGCCTAGGGCTTGCCGATCGAAAGGTCGGCGGTTCGAATCCCCGCGGCGGGGTGCGCTCCCGCTGCTCGGTCCCAGCGCCTGCCAACCTAGCAGTTCGAAAGCACCCCCGGGTGCAAGTAGATAAATAGGGACCGCTTACTGGAGGGAAGGTAAACGGCGTTTCCATGTGCGGCTCTGGCTCGCCAGATGCAGCTTTGTCACGCTGGCCACGTGACCCGGAAGTGTCTCCGGACAGCGCTGGCCCCCGGCCTCTTGAGTGAGATGGGCGCACAACCCTAGAGTCGGACACGACTGGCCCGTATGGGCAGGGGTACCTTTACCTTTACCTTTTATTCCATTATTATTATTATTATTATTATTATTATTATTATTATTATGCCATCCATCTGACTATGTTGTCCAACATTCTGGGCAGCTTACAACTTATAAGTAAAGGGACCCCTGACCATTAGGTCCAGTCGTGACCGACTCTGGGGTTGCAGCGCTCATCTCACTTTATTGGCCGAGGGAGCCGGCGTACAGCTTCCGGGTCATGTGGCCAGCATGACTAAGCCGCTTCTGGCGAATCAGAGCAGCGCCCGGATTCGCCGTTTACCTTCCCGCTGGAGCGGTACCTATTTATCTACTTGCACTTTGACGTGCTTTCAAACTGCTAGGTTGGCAGGAGCAGGGACCGAGCAACGGGAGCTCACCCCGTCGCGGGGATTCGAACCACCAACCTTCTGATCGGCAAGTCCTAGGCTCTGTGGTTTAACCCACAGCAAAAACCATAATAAAACATAAATTAATAAACAGAGAACCTGTGAATCACCCTGAGACCCCCGGGTATAGGGCAGTATATAAATTCAATATATAATAATAATAATACCCCCATGACGCTGACACAAAAATCTTGCACATACACTATATAAAAGAATGAAAGTTCA